CCTTCCCAAATGGTCTGATGTTCCTATCAAAAAATTGGGAACATCAAGTGATCTGATGTTCCCGTCACTGAAATATAAGAAAAACAGTTAAAAAATGAAATGAAAATATGAAAAATATATAAAAATATAACTATTCCCACGAAATGATCAGTATGGTAAACAACACAGCTCAAATCCAACGCATTTCACACAAAATAATTAAATCAAAATGAAAATAAATAAAAATCTATGAAAATTCAATTTATCAATGCAATCAGAAACATTGAAATGGAACTGTAATATATTTAGTATAGCATGTGTGTTGCTCTTACATGCAACAGATGGCGCTGTTTTTCAAGAAAAGCATAGTTTTACCTGTTACAGGTGTGGCATCTAATACTTATACTTATACTTATACTAATGAAATGAACGGTATGGTAAACAACACAGCTCAATTCCAACACAATATCACACAAAATAATTCAATAAAAAATGCAATAAATCGAAATTATTGAAAGAAAATTATCAATGCAATCGGAAACATTGAAATGGAATTCGTGACATATTTAGTATAGCGTACATGTTGATATTATATGCAACAGATGGCGCTGTTTTTCAAAAACGCATGTTTTTACCTGTCACAGGTGTGGCATCTATGTAGTAGGTATATAAAACTACGCAACTATTCGAATGCAACGTTGTGTCAAAATTTCAAAGCAATCGGTAAAGAGGTTTCGAAGATTTCCCTCACAAGAAAAACACATGAAAAACACAGTTTTTCAGAAAAACAGTTTTTTTTTACCGTCACAGAAGTGACATCTATATAGTATGTATATATAAACCTGGCCGGATGCAAATGGAACGTTGTGTGAAAATTTCAAAGCAATCGGTGAAGAACTTTCGGAGATTAGCGGTTTTGAACAAACAAACATTTCCATTTATATATATATATATATATATATATATATATATATATATATATATATATATATATATATATATATATATATATATATATATATATATATATATATATATATATATATATATATATATATATATATATATATATATATATATATATATATATATATATATATATATATATATATATATAAGTTAGATAAATATACACACTTAACAAAAGAATAGGGGTGGTAGGAGAAGAAAATATCAAAGTGTTCAGTGAGGATCCACAAGGTCTTCTCTGAGTACTCTTTATTTTCTTCTCCGAGGCTATGGGTCCCTACAATTGCACCAGAGGTGGTACCCCTTCTAGGTAAAAAAAAAAAAAAAAAAAAAAAAAAAAAAAAAAAAAAAAAAAAAAAAAAAAAAAAAAAAAAAAAAAAAAAAAAATATATATATATATATATATATATATATATATATATATATATATATATATATATATATATATATATTATAAAATGTGTGTCAGGAAAACATTCAACCGGAGGCTGCATGAAGTAGTTCTGATGCCGATCTTTATCTACGGATATTATGCGTTGATGTGACATTGATTTTGTTTATTTATTATGCACCCCATACCCATCTCGTGGGTGATAGTTGATCCCCATACCAATCCTGTGGGTGGTAGTGGACCCCATACCCATATCGTGGGTGGTATTGGACCCCATATCCTTCACGTAGGCGGTGGTGGACTCCCATATTCATCCCATGGATGGTAGCAGAAACCATACCCAGTCCGTGAGCGGTAGTAGAAAAGGTTACAGAGGCACATAATTGGCTCAGAAACTCGACACCAAAATTCACTTATTTAAGGCAGTAGCAATCTTGTTAAGCGACTTACACAAGTTATTGTCTAGATACAAACAATCTTTTACTGCACAAGTGATCCAAGAAATGTTCCAGAACATTCTCTAAGCCGAGCACTTTACGGCTGTGGTGAGTCAGTTACACTTATACTAATCATGTCCTCCCCCCCCCCAAACCCACCCCCAGCAGGGATCATTCCCCACACCCACCCCCAGGGCTCCCCCCACCCACCCCAGGGCTCCCCCCACCCACCCCCAGGGCTCCCCCCACCCCCACACACTCACCCATCCAACAGGTGGCGGGCGTGGAAAATTTACAGGCAAGTTTGCACTGTCTTCAGTAAGTAAACTTGTGATATTTAGCTAAGATTTTTGGTAGTATATCTACTTGAGATGATTTCGCGGATTAGCGTCCCCGCGGCCCGGTCCTTGACCAGGCCTCCTTTTTTGTTAGACGTCCCCAGGAAGCAGCCTGTAGTAGCTGTCTAACTCTCAGATACCTATTTACTGCTAGGTGAACAGAGGCCTCAGGGTGAAAGAAACTCTGCTCATTTGTTTCCACCTCCGCCGGGGATCGAACCCGGACTCTTAGGATTACGAATCCCAAGCGCTGTCAACTCAGCTGTCAGGCCCCTACTTTGGAAAAAAAAATTACTTACACATTGCTTGAACGTTCGAAATAGTTAGCTCTGAATGCTGAGAGATTCTTGTTTTCACATTTAATGTCGTAATGTATGTGAATAGGTCTACTGACAGCGACACATAGGCTTATGGCTCTTCCTGCGTAATAGAATGACAAATGGACGTACTCCGCTCCACCAAACTCTCACAAGTCGAGTCTGGCCTCGGGCCGGGCTTGGGGAGTAGAAGAACTCCCAGAACCCCATCAACCAGGTATCAACCAGGTATGGAATAACTGGTTTGTGAATTTCATTTTGTCTGAGGTCTGCAAGATTTTGTTGCTATTGCAATAGTTTGCAATCGAAAAAGCTAATCAATTCTTCCTCTTTACGAACACATTCTTTGGCTATCATAGATTTGGAGGCCACTATGGGATGTGATGCGTAGGAGAGAGACTGACTCCATCATTGATTATTTTAGTATATCCATACCTAGTTTCAGACACAAACACTTCGTAGTTGTGTTAGGAGTTAAGTGCATTCAAGGATAACAAGGAGTCACTTGCAATTAGTTGTGTCTACTCTGGATTCACATGGTTTGAGTGCAAGGAGTAAACAGTTTGGTCTGAAGAGTGCAGGCTCAGTCATGTGTGCGAACATCCCCACTCAGACTATGAGGGAAGGAGTTATCAGAGGAAAGCGCCAATCCATTACGACTATACAGCACTTGGAAGGGGTCAGGATAATGATTTAGGATGGGATGAAGGGTAAGGAATGGTGCCCAACCATTTGGACGGTCAGGGATTGAACGCCAACCTATATATGAAGCGATACAGTCGCTCTACCGTCCAGCCCAAGTTTTTGGATGAGAGCCATTTCTTGTTGTCACAACAACTGCACTTCCGGCGCCACCAGAAGATTGGTATAGAGAACCATCAGTGTAGTTTCAGACAGAGATCGTTCCATGTCCAGTACCTAAATATTACTTAAGGCAGGACGCAAAATGTTTTAAATTAAAGTCATGTAAATAGATAATCTGAATTTGTGTTAGCCAAATATGTTTTTCCCCCTTCCAATGTGCTGGGATTTGCTCCTTTTTTGTACATATGGTGGTTTCCCATTGTGTGAGACAGGAAACCTGCTAGCCTTTTCGAGGTCAACCTATAGTGACCTTTTCCGGGATGCAGCCCGCAACAGTTGCCTAAGTCTCTGGTTACCCGCTGACTCTAGGTGAAGAGAGGCATCAGGAGAAAGGACAGTACCTATAACAATTTCGCCTTTTTTTTAAGCAAGTGCCGCTACAGCTCATACATCTGCAGCTCACACAGCTACAGATAGCTTGTAAACCTGCAGCTTGTAAACCTTTAGCTTGTATACCTGCACTTTATACACATGCAGGTATACGAGCTACAGGTGTACAGGCTACAGGTGTTCGAGCTACAGATTTACAAGTTACAGGTGTGTGAGCTACAGATGTATGAGCTGTAGCGACACTTTAAAAAAAAGCTCTCACACCTGCACTGTGTTTGAGCCAACAGTCAGGGAGCTACAGCCGAATTGACTGTACTGCGGCCGGCTGCTCCATGCTGATTGGAGTATCCTCATAACACCACCTGTCTGCTGTCTATTTACTTTATTATGTTACCGAAGGATATCTTTAAGTTACATTAGGATATTGTAAAGCTAAATCAGATTAGTTCTATTTGTTAGGCATTTGAATTGCGTCTAATCTACCCGGCTGCTCTGATTAAGCCAGAGCATGTGTATCTGAACTGTCTATTTGCTGTTATATTAAATATATATTGTTATATTATATATTGTTATATATTATTTATATATACGTTGTTATATTATATATTGTTAGATATTATTTATATATACGTTTTTATATTAAATATATTTTCTCCATTTAGTATACGGTCAATAGGCAAATAATGACGTCACTATCTTGAATCTTGTGGACAATGATAAGATATTTTAGTGGGGCAAAGGTGGACAAAGGTAGACACAAGTAGTTGAAGATGGACAATGGTAGACACAAGTGGTTAATGTTGAAGAAAACGTGGATAAAGGTGAACAAATAATGCCACTTGAGAACAACAGGCACTCTGGTTGTACCAGGGATTAATGAGGAATAATAACACTGTGAGACCCTGCAAGCTCCTCTAGGGTTTGAAGGGTCGTATCCTAGGGTACTAGAGTTACAAGGGTCGTATCCTAGGGTACTAGAGTTACAAGGGTCGTATCCTAGGGTACTTTGTTACAAGAGTCTAAGACTAGGGGTCAGAAGGATACAATCCAGGGGTTACATATATCCTATACACAGGAGTTACAAGGGTCCTATAATAGGGTTACAAGATCCTATAATAGAGTTACAAAGGGTCCCATACTAGGGTAACAAGAAGGGGGTCCCTATACTAGGTTAACAAAAAGCGGTCCCATACTAGGGTTACAAGAAGGGGGTCCCTATACTAGGGTAACAAGAAGGGGGTCCCTATACTAGGTTAACAAAAAGCGGTCCCATACTAGGGTTACAAGAAGGGGTCCCTATATTAGGGTAACAAGCGTGGGTTCCATACTAGGATAGCAAGAAGGGGTCCCCATACTAGGGGAACAAGCACCCTACCTGTTTTGGTGGTCCTGGCTGTGGTGAGGCTCCCGGACGTCTAAGGAAGTTGGAAGGAAGAACCTGTTAGAGAAGGCGAGGCAGGAGTCGCCTGTCTCTTTGTTATCTTGACACACACAGGCGGTATATGCTCAAGACGCTGGTATATAGATCACAGTGAACTCTTGCTTTATTTACCTCTAATTTCACAGTATTATATTTGAAACAGTAACACAGTCCAAATCCTCGAATCTGTAAGCCTTTTTTGTAAATATAAACAGATGTAAATTTTCTTGATTTGGTACAACACAGGACAGTGTGATATAACACGTTATTCGGGCTACCACAGGAATGACTTCTGCTTCCCTCACTGTTGTTCCTTTAACCACTACATCCCACAGCAACTTGAATTTCTATTTTGTTTGAGGGCACCAACCTCCCGAAGAGCAAGAAGAGCTCCACGGAGAGGGAGAAAGAGAGAGAGAGAGAGAAGGCTTGTTGGGCCCTCGGAGCGCGCCCTTGGCAGCCTGTTGTTGCTCACGACCCGACCGAGTGACTGGCTTGTGGCCCAGTGGCCCCTCCCAGCTGACTTGACTGCCTGCCTGCCTGCCTGCCTGCCTCGCCCAGGGACAGGAATTGAGGGTTATAGAATTACACAATACGGTCAGCTGATCCCCCTGCATCACCGCTGGTGCCTTGACAAGTTCTACACCGCCTTTACTGGTTGGAATGTTCGACATCACCACTGACTAATCAACCTAACCCACGCATATATGAATGAAAATGACGACGTTTCGGTCCGTTTTGGATCTCTTATCAAGTCGTGTCTTGATGAAGAGTTCTGGGCGGACTGAAACATGGTCCGTTTTTACCGTGTTTCAGCCGCGTCACTGTGACTCATTTTAAGCAGCGACCCAATAATTATTATTGCCCTCGGCCCTCGGTAGGGAAATTACGATTGAAATCGATCTCTGTGTGAACTAATGTGCCTTTCATATTATGTGAGAGCTATTATTATCTTATAGATAAATAATTCTTTAAAAATCCTTGAAAGTTATGAGAAAAAGATGGAGAAACCTGAAGAAGTTGTACTGTTTTATATCAAAGATATGAAGGGCCGACCATAAACAAGTGCAGACATGGTAAGCAAATTATTGGGAAAAGGTGCTAAGCCAGAATGAACAAATGGTATCATTCCTGATCTGTATTTTAGACTTTTTTAGTATTAACCTTTAAATGGTTAAATGGGCCTTTAAATGGGCCTTTAAATGGTTAAATGGGCCTTTAAAATGGTTAAAATGGGCCTTTAAATTAAATGGTTAAATGGGCCTTTAAAACCTTTAAATGGGCCTCTGTAATCATCGTCCAATGACACGGGCCAGTAGACATCCCTTATGTGCATGTCTAGATAAGTCTCTCCGAATATCCAATCTAGAAAGGCCAATAGTAGGCATCCTTCAGTCTCAGGAGACTATGGAGTTGCGCTCTGGTTGTCGGTCTCTGGTTGAGAGATTAAACCTCTCTTAATCTCGTGTCTAGATAGTCCAGTTGGACTTGCTTAAACTTGAGACCAGATACAGAAGTAGCTATCCCTTAGTCTCGAGCATGTAACACGGGTTAGGGTTCCCTCTCTTTACTTCTCTACCTTCTACCCGTATTCTTACTTTTTATTTCTAAACCAAGGGACTCCAAAACTTTTAACAAAGCCAACTCCACGCCACGTGGTCCTAAGACGATTGACCGACTTAGGATTCTACACCCAGTATGACGTGACCTAAGCTCTGAACGAAACCCTAGAGTCACCTCTGCTGCCACCACCAGACCAGTAATACAAGAGCAATGATCGAGGTCTGGATCGATCACGCTAATTAATCAACCTTGGGGCTTGATCCCCACTATATACGATGACCTTGAGTGTGGAATAAATTACACGGTAATGATAATTCCGATTCGATGTTAGAATCGGCGCCCAATACAACTCTGCCTCGTGTGGACCACGTGACCAGGACAAGTTTACACATAAAACACATGGAAATAATGAAATGCAAAATATTAACAAATTTAATTTATTAAAAGAAAAACTAAAACAAAATCTAAAAATGTTCACTCCCTATCACTTTAACACTCCCTACTTGACCTGAGTGGCAAATGAGACTATTTCTATACATAACCATAGCAACTATACCTTGGGCGACCAGCTAGATGTCTTGGCTGGTCTTGGGGAGAGGTAAGATGTTTGACCTCTCCCAGTTGCTTCCGTGACCACACTGCTCTCTCTTTTGTCTGGTCTACCCCAGACAGAACATTGTATCCTTCCGCCTAGTCAAAGTTTTACCAAGTTACTAGCCAGGTTTAAGTTATAACAATTAACCTCTGTTGTACTTAATTGATCCAGACTGGTTGAATTATTTTACTGAATTAAATTACACAAGCCTCTAACGGCAGAGCTGTTCCCGATCACAAAGATGGTTATTAAAACTTTGAGAAATAGTAGACCTGTCAACCCCTGATGACCTATGACCGCCGGTCACTCCGCTTTAAAAGTTAGATCTGATTCGTGACGTCACTGATGGTGACTTAAACTCAATAATTAGAATACTCTTGATATTGTACCCAGTACTATTATACAATACAATTTTAATGCAAAATGAATAAAGGCTAATTTTCTCTAAATTACTGAATACTATAGGATGATTCATTATACGCAGATATGAACAAAGCGTCGGTTATTTCCACCGCGAATTCCCCTGGGGGTCAGGTCACCATGCGGCTCAGCTTCCCATTCTCTTTTGTCGATAAACCACTCTGGATAATTCTTACAACAGCCTAGTTTGTTACAAGCATAGGTTAATTTAGTATAATTGGATATCGTTATCTATGACCAAAAAGCACAACGCCTATATGTCGAGTAAACGAAAGCAGCTACCGGACTAATCCTGGAGATGATACCACGAAAATAGAAGATTAGACAGCCAAAATACAGGATAACAAATACTCATCTAAGTATCAACAGACAGCTCCAACTTAAGTGCGGCCTACCATCTACAAGACCAAGCTGCCAGCTTACACCACACATTCTCCTGATCCTTCATGAAATATATACTGGTACCTATTCTAATTTAGTTTCATTTTCCTCTGCTTCTGAAGATGCTGAAAATACTTTATGTGAAACGTGTCTTTTTTTCACCAGATCAATTTTTTAAATTCTTGTGCAAGGGTTAGAAGTATATACAAATATAAAGAATATTCCTGCTAGAACTATTTATCTATTTTATGTCAATAACACACATTCACATATATAAACTCACTGTATATATATATATATATATATATATATATATATATATATATATATATATATATATATATATATATATATATATATATATATATATATATATTTTTTGACCAGACCACACATTAGGAATTGAAGGGACGACGACGTTTCGGTCCGTCCTGGACCATTCTCAAGTCGATTGTCTTGACAATCGACTTGAGAATGGTCCAGGACGGACCGAAACGTCGTCGTCCCTTCAATTCCTAGTGTGTGGTCTGGTCAACATACTTCAGCCACGTTATTGTGACTCATCGCCTGCATATATATATATGTCGTACCTAGTAGCCAGAACGCACTTCTCTGCCTACTATGCAAGGCCCGATTTGCCTAATAAGCCAAGTTTTCATGAATTGTTTTTCGACTACCTAACCTAACCTAACTTTTTCGGCTACCTAACCTAACCTAACCTATAAAGATAGGTTAGGTTAGGTTAGGTAGGGTTGGTTAGGTTCGGTCATATATCTACGTTAATTTTAACTCCAATAAAAAAAATTGACCTCATACATAATGAAATGGGTAGCTTTATCATTTCATAAGAAAAAAATTAGAGAAAATATATTGATTCAGGAAAACTTGGCTTATTGGGCAAATCGGGCCTTGCATAGTAGGCTGGGAAGTGCATTCTGGCTACTAAGTACGACATATATATATATATATATATATATATATATATATATATATATATATATATATATATATATATATATATATATATATATGAGTGTGTGTGAGTGCATGTACACAGTGAGTTTATACACAATTTAGTGTAATCATATCCATCAATGTATATGAAATTCAAGGAACTGTTAATTCCCGTAAGCTGTAATTGAGGGCACTCTGCAGTGTGCGGTTCACGCAACCAAAGTTACTGACCAGACCAACCCAACTCTCTCTCTCTCTCTCTCTCTCTCTCTCTCTCTCTCTCTCTCTCTCTCTCTCTCTCTCTCTCTCTCTCTCTCTCTCTCTCTCTCTCTCTCTCTCTCTCTCTCTCTCTCTCTCTCTCTCTCTCTCTCTCTCTCTCTCTCTCTCTCTCTCTCTCTCTCTCTCTCTCTCTCTCTCTCTCTCTCTCTCCCAGACGGCTCCCGTACCGTCGGTTCCTTGGCTCCCTCGACTAATCTATGCTATACTCTGATCTATGTTTTGTGAAGTATGATAACCTAAGTAAATATTCGTGAATATTATTGCAGGCCTTCTTAGCAACCATTGAAGGTCTTCTGCACAGAAAGTTGCAGATCTTCTTGCAACTTTTGTAGAGGCTTTTCTGCCAGCTTTTTAAAGGCAACTAGTGCAGCGTCACTTTTGTAACAACTCTCTTTAATATGTCTTGCAACAGCTCTTGTTGCAACCGTTGAGTAAGACTATTGTAATGTCTTTTTGCAGGAGATGCTTTTGTGTTATGAAATCTTCTGGCAACCACTGTATCATCCCTTTAAACAGTTATTGTGTCATTTATTATAGTCATTTTTGTATCATTCCCTGTAACGGCAGCTGTACCATCCCTTGTATAACCCGTTCTCGCACTTTTGTATAGTCAATATTGACTTATTAAATACATGCATATGTGACATACTAATTTATTGTGTCTATTTTAGTTTACCTTGAAAAGCTTCATAGAAAACACCGACCTTACCTAACCTTCTTAGTATGTTAAGATAAGCATCATATTGCTTCGTAATTACAATTATTACTTAACCTATTATAGGTATGGGTTAAGTAAGAAAGTGCGAGAACGGGTTGCCTTGTACCAACGACTCCCAGAGCAGCACTGTATCGGTCCTCTCGCCCGTTGGTCCCAGGCTCTGCACTCCGCCTCCATTATGTCTAATAAAGTTAAAAAAAGAGATATGATTACTTCATTTGAAGAGTTGCTCCGAAGATGATGTCAGGTCGCAGGGCTTGTCCGGGTTTGCTAAACGACTCCTCCTCGGCACCGTTGGTGAACCTGCTTTTTTGATTATGGGTTTTTGGTTTTATGCTTTACGGAGCCACTTGTCCTGGTTACTAAAGCAATGGGATAGCTTCTTGCAAGGGTCGGGGTTCAATTCCTGATGGTCCAAGTAGATGAGAACCGTTCCTTTACTCCGTCTTTATATCGCTCAACCACTTGGGCTGGACGGTAGAGCGACTGGCTTCATGCAGGTCGCATGAAACAGGTCGTTCAATCCCAGAGCGTCCAAGTGGATTGGACGTTCAATCCCAGAGCGTCCAAGTGGTTGGGCACTATTCCTTTCCCCCGTCCCATCCCAAAACCTTATCCTGACCCCTGAAAGAAAGAGAGAAAGAGAAAGAAAAAGAGATCTGTGTTGAACGTAGGATTATATGGAGTACCTAAGGACACTCCATTCTTCAGTTTCCCCCCTGTCACAAGACCACACTCCACACGCGTGTTCGATCTCCCCGTCACACGACAGGGTGACGATCAGCCTTCACTCGTAACTACACCGGAAGTTTTTCATTAAGCGACCAGCTGTTAGGACGCCTCAAAGCGCTTCCTTCACTAACCGACGAAATAGACTCGATATTGGCTTCTTTCATGGGGCGGGACTTCCGTGTTGATTTCGTAGCAGGTTCGTAGCAGGTTCAAGCCGCTAGAGGCGTAAGGACGGCTATGGGCCTGGTGGAGATGGGTGCTGGAGGCGCGGCACTTGCTGCCCCCGAAGGAGATCATGAAGGACATCCGGCCTGGCAGGTGGCGACGACCATGCAGCTGGCTGTTGACTCGTAGTTTATGGGGGGGGGGGCGTTAAGCATCAATAATGACGCAGTGCCTGTGATGGAGTGTGCTTGTATTCACCTAGTTGTGTTTGCGGGGGTTGAGCTTTGCTCTTTCGGCCCGCCTTTCAACTGGCAATCAACTGTTTACTAACTACTTTTTCTCCACACCGCACACACACACACACACACACACACACACACACACCTCGTAGGGGCCTCGTAGCCTGGTGGATAGCGCGCAGGACTCGTAATTCTGTGGCGCGGGTTCGATTCCCGCACGAGGCAGAAACAAATGGGCAAAGTTTCTTTCACCCTAAGTGCCCCTGTTACCTAGCAGTAAATAGGTACCTGGGAGTTAGTCAGCTGTCACGGGCTGCTTCCTGGGGTGTGTGTGTGGTGTGGGGAAAAAAAAAGTAGTTAGTAAACAGTTGATTGACAGTTGAGAGGCGGGCCGAAAGAGCAAAGCTCAACCCCCGCAAAAACACAACACAACTAGTAAACACACACACACACACACACACCAGGAAGCAGCCCGTGACAGCTGACTAACTCCCAGGTACCTATTTTTAATGCTAGGTAACAAGGGCATTCAGGGTGAAAGAAACTTTGCCCATTTGTTTCTGCCTCGTGCGGGAATCAAACCCGCGCCACAGAATTACGAGTCCTGCGCGCTATCCACCAGGCGACGAGGCCCTCCTGCTACACCATGAGATAACAGCTCACTCGAAGGCTGTTGGCTGATCCTGGTTTGTGTAAATGAGGGTTAGTAATCCACTTCATTTTTTACAAATTCGTGTTATTATTTTGGTTTTAAGCGAAATGTTTAGGTAGCAACTCTCTATATAAAACAGGATAAAGGGGAAATGGAAAGAGAGAGAGATAGAGAGTGGGATAGAGAAAGAGGGAGAGAGAGCTAGGAGAAGAGACAGCGAGTAACTAACGAGGGTGAATGGAAGTTCTTGAATAACTTACATCCACACATCAGTCGGTGTCAGCTCTATGGAAGCTAGATAATGGAGTTATATATAACTGCGATATAGCCTCTTGTAAATATGAAGTAGAGAAGGCATGAGAGATAGAACGAAGAAAAGAACACATTACCCATTAAACCATAACCTTGAATTAATCTCAATGGGTAAAAAAGTGAAGAGCGTGGCACTCCCTCCCACAGTGGGCGTGGCGTGTCGCCACTCACACGAAGGGCCTGCTTCGTGTGAGCTTCGTGAGCTTCACGAGCTTGAAAGTAAGCTTCGTGAGCTTGAAAGTAAGCTTCGTGAGCTTGAAAGTAAGCTTCGTGAGCTTGAAGGTAAGCTTCGTGAGCTTGAAGGTGAGCTTCGTGAGCTTGAAGGTAAGCTTCGTGAGCTTGAAGGTGAGCTTCGTGAGCTTGAAGGTAAGCTTCGTGAGCGTGAAGGTAAGCTTCGTGAGCTTGAAAGTAAGCTTCGTGAGCGTGAAGGTAAGCTTCGTGAGCTTGAAGGTAAGCTTCGTGAGTTTGAAGGTAAGCTTCGTGAGCGTGAAGGTAAGCTTCGTGAGCTTGAAAGTAAGCTTCGTGAGCGTGAAGGTAAGCTTCGTGAGCTTGAAAGTAAGCTTCGTGAACTTGAAAGTAAGCTTCTTGAGCTTGAAGGTAAGCTTCGTGAGCTTGAAAGTAAACTTCGTGAGCTTGAAAGTGAGCTTCGTGAGCTTGAAAGCAAGCTTCATGAGCCTGAAATGAGCTTCGTGAGCTTGAAAGTGAGCTTCGTGAGCTTCGCCCTCACACACGTGGGGTCCACGGTTCGAGTCTCTTAGAACCCAGGTGAATAGACTTTACTACGCTACTTTAACCTGAATTCTGTAGCGTTCCTGCGGTTGTAAATTATTATGAACTGTAGAGAATATCTAATCCTTTTGTAACCAGTTCCAGTCCAACCATTGGAACTGGACGTTAGAGCGACGGTCTCGCTACTTGCAAGGCTGGGTTCAATCCCCGACCGTCGCAGTGGTCGAGGATAGATGAAAAGATGCAGTAAGAGACTGACGATAAACTTGAGACATGCAGTGAGAGCCAGATAATATATATGATAATATATATAATATTATAATATGTAAATGTGAAAGATGAGACAAATATACGAAAATATACTCAGAGTTACTGTCATCTGAGTATGAATCAGTGGAAACGTTGTATATTGTGTATTAATAATTTCACTCGACACTTCCGTCTTTATCCGGTCACACGAGTCATGGAACAGGATGAGTGACGGGTAATCGGGGCGGCCGGATACGGGTGTGACAGCGACCAATTCTCTACCATACGACCACACTTTTGGTTGATTTCTGGAACTAATTATCGGGTAACATAACATACGTGGGATCGCTGGCTTGCTACAAGCGTAGTGATACATACATGTGAACAAGTCTGACCGGATATAAACAGCAGTTGACTCACATGGGCCAATAGGCCTTGAGGAGTTTCCTACATTCTCATGGTCTTCTAATTTCATTTGGACGATACTTTGGTATTGCGTAGACTGCTGTAGGTCACGATGAGCTAAATAAATGACAAAAAGACTAATATTTATGGATAAATGACGCTACAGTCTTTTGTGGTGAGGTAAAGTCACGAGGAAAAAAACACTAGGCCAGTACGATTATATAGCACTTGGAAAGGATAGAGCGGAAGGAAGGATTGGTGTTTAACGATGTGGACTATCGGGGATCGAACGCCGACCTGCAAGAAGCTACAGGCCGTCTCTGTGCCGACCAGTCCCAATAGGGAGAATCTTCCATGATGGTGAAACTGTGTTTGTGTAGGATAACACATTACAATTAAGACTTCCTCTCATGCCAGTTCTCATTTGACCGCTTCCCACGACCACTGTTCAGCAACCCAGGCACAAGGCGACAAATCTGGGGGGATGTTAAGCCTATATTTCCTTCTATATTCCATCCTGGCAACCCTGTCCATGGAGGGCACAAGAAAATGTATATATGCTGGTTAGCATTGTAAATGTGTGGCCACGTTTGTGGTAGAAAATAATAATAATAAAAAAAAACTGTTCCTTGACACTGTTGACTCTCTCCCTCCTCCACACTCTTTTCTTCTTGCCACTTGTCTTTCCTCCCTACCAGCAATTTTCCATGATTTCATGGTACTATATCCTGCGTTTCTTGTATTCATCCTGACAGGGGCCTGACAGCTGAGTGGACAGCGCTTCGGATTCGTAGTCCTGAGGTTCCGGGTTCGATCCCTGCCGAAGGCGGAAACAAATGGGCAAAGTTTCTTTCACCCTGATGCCCTTGTTACAAAGCAGTAAAATAGGTACCTGGGAGTTAGACAGCTGCTACGGGCTGCTTCCTGGGGGTGTGTAACAAAATGGAGGCCTTGTCGAGGGCCGGGCCGCGGGGACGCTAAGCCCCGAAATCATCTCAAGATAACCTCAAGATAACCATCCCATCCTGCCTTCGTAAACTCGACACTTCCTTGACTTAAATTCATTTTATCTAATTTTCCAAACACCTCTTTCGTCTCTCTGTCATAAACAATAGCCACGAGGGCGGATGATAAGTTCCCTAGCAAGGGTGTTGTGTAGCCTTCAGCAGCTGAGTGTAGGTACTTGCCTTGATGAGACACGTGACCGCTCAGGACACCAGCAAAATGTTGTGTAATATTGCATAATAAAGCCATGAACTATTTATTACAATTTAACAGGCGATACAAACTTGTTTTAGTAAACAATATTAGTGTTGTATGAGTCAGCAACATTATTTTTTTGGGGGGGATGAAATAATATGTTTGCCCCCTGGCGGTTGTGATAAACACAGCATAATGGTGCGTCGGGGAGAGTTTGCCCGTGTGAGTCTATTTTATAATTGCTGTTTATTTGCTCTGTAATTTGCACAATACAGTGGTTACATACTCTTCGCATAGTTAGGCATATACTGGTCGTGTTGAAAACAATCCAGTGATTCCATATGCAAGTGCTTTATGACCTATATGGTGCTTTATGATTTATAAAGTAGATTCACCTATGAATATACCTGAGTTCTGCCGTCTCTAGTGGTGTCGACTGGGGCAGAAAGCCGCCGGCTTGTCAAAGATACCCCCCCCCCTCACTGTTTCTGGAAATACTTGTTATCACTGCTACTTAATCTTTCCGGCTTTATGCCTTCTTTTGATGATAACAATAACAAAATTGTGGGCCGAGACCGTAGACTACTGCCCTGCAGGATCCATTAAACATGATTTCTACGTGGAAATCAAATGTAGGAGCCTTATCCCCAGAGATAGAGGACGGCCTGTCGACTGTGTAGATGAGGAATGTATTGAAGCTTGTCACCGAGTAGATGCGAAATGGATTTAAGCTTTTGGCTTCTTAAGTGTAAGCTTGACATGATATCCACACTAATTCTCATATTGGAACATCGTTAAGTTCACTTTGAATTAATTTTAAATTGTATTATGATTCACTTTTTATTGCAAAATGGTCATTTATCTTGCCTGTAATCCTTCTTGGTTGGCGTTCACAGGGAAGTGGAGGCGGAGGCCGGGAGCTTGAGACACTTTATCCGACTCATGAGAGTTAATTATGCTCGTGTTCCTCAATTGGGCTGAGTTCCTTGAGATCTCCATCACAAATTTTGCTCTGTATCAGCATACTTTAGGTCATACATGTGCTACACAGAGTCATACATATGCTACATAAGGTCATACATATGCTACACGAGATCATATATGTGCTACATAAGGTCATACATACACCTTTGATCTAATGTGGGTCATAAGCTGATTTCTTTAAGCTTAGTCATATGTTGATATGAATCTTATGTGTTTACTATCTCGATTTTCATTTAACCTTATAGGGACGTCTTAAGAAAGAATCCTTTTTTTTTAAGTATAATGAATGATTTCTAGAAAAAAGTCAGACAGAATTAAACAAGAGTTTAAAAAGCAACACTTTTTTTTAACACTGTACAGTATACTTTCGTATACTGTACAGTGTTTGTGTGTTCTTTTTAAATTCACGAGGACAGAGAATTACGTTTAAAGCATCTAAATCTTAATATATGAGAACAACGTACGTCTTTTTATGGTATTTTTGTTCGCTAAGACACCGAACACACCTGGGAATTTTCAGTCACGTGATTGTGTCGTATTGTCTGCTTGAAGAATAATATAAAATAATACAACGTTGATTTAGCAATGTATGATGAGAAATATTCTTAAATGTCTCGTAGAGTATTGATAGAAGACAGGTAAAGTGAGGATACTTATAAGATAGTCATTGTATCACATTCATTACAATATCATGAAGATTTATATTACATAACAATGAGAAATATCCTAACCCAATATAAATACAAATTTATTTATTATATACATATATGTATACACATTCATCTATACAAGTTTTACCTTAGAAATGCGAGAGAAGCAACAACACAAGCGAGAGAGTTGTTACATTACAACTCATCTCCTCCTTAAAGTTAATCAACACAAACTGCTTGTTGGTGGCTGGCTCGCAGGCCGGGCTAACACCAGCCCCCCAGAAATTATCCCCATCAGCTGGGCAAGCCAGTCAGATGACGTGTCCCAACAGTGCTTGTGTGTGAGGGGAACGTCAACTGCTCTCCCCCTCGCTCTAATATCCTCCCCCTAATAACCCATCATATCTCCCCCGAATACGTACGTGGAGCTTTCAGTTCGAGAAGCGTAGATATTCTTTTAATACAGCAGAGCTATGGTACGTTATGTGCAGCTCACACAGTCGCAAATATGGTCTTGCGCACGCGCACACACATGCATATATATACACACACACACACAGGCAGAGAGGCGTGCATAATACAACTTAGTATAAGCACTAGCTGGGCTGCAAGCTGCACGACACTCGTGGCTGTCAGTTGCAACTTGGTGCCTAGTGCTCCAGACTCCAGTAAGCCTTTGACCTCAAGAACATTTGTATTAATAAAGAAAAAAATTCAAATTTATGTTCACTAGTGATGATTATATCTTTACACACACACACACGCGCGCGCGCGCTCACACACACACACACACACACACACACGGGAAAGAAAGGCGGGATCCAAGAGTCAATGCTCGATCCTGCAAGCACATATAGGTGAGTACATATAGGTGAGTACACACACACAGATTGGCGAGAGGTCACCAGTGGAGTCCCGCAGGGTTCAGTCCTAGGACCCATACTGTTCAACCCGAGTAAATGTAAAGTAATGAAACTAGGCAGTGGAAACAGGAGGCCAGACACAGGATACCGAATGAGGGAGGAAGTCCTTCATGAAACAGACAGAGAGAAAGATCTGGGAGTTGATATCACACCAAACCTGTCTCCTGAAGCCCACATTAAAAGAATACCATCTGCAGCGTATGCAAGGCTGGCTAACATCAGAACTGCCTTCAGGGACCTGTGTAAGGAATCATTCAGAACCTTATATACAACATATGTAAGACCAATTTTGGAGTATGCAGCCTCAGCATGAAGCCCGTACCTTGTAAAGCACAAGGCGAAACTTGAAAAAGTTTAGATATGCCACTAGGCTAGTCCCAGAACTAAGAGGCATGAGTTACGAGGAAAGGCTGCGGGAAATGCACCTCACGACATTGGAAGACAGAAGAACTCAGGAAGACATGATCACTACCTACAAAATTCACGGAGGAATTGAGAGGGTAAATAAAGATATACTGTTTAACATGGGTGGTACGCAAACAAGGGGACACAAGTGAAACCTGAGTACCCAAATGAGCCACAGGGACGTTAGAAGGAACTTTTTCAGTGTCAGAGTAG